CTTTACAGATAATTCAAATCAAATCAACCGCTTCAACAGGCACACAACACAACACAAGTGCACACAACGACTACACCACCCCCGAACAGTACAGCAATCCCAGCAGCCTCTACAGCAATCCCAGCAATCCTCAGCAATGAACACACTTTCAGCACGCCATCAATAAATCATCGTATTCATAAATGTCAAGGGGGTGACTGTGTAGTTTCATTCTTCTTGAGCGTGTGAGAGAGCAAGTGTGCATGAGACAGGTAAGTGACATGGCAAACTTCATGGTCTGGAGTTTGAGGATCTTTTCTGTACATCTAGACCAGGGGTGGGCAATCTTATCTGCAAAGGGCCGGTGTGTATTCAGGTTTTAGGGTTAACCTTTTGGTCAAACCCAGGTATGAGGACTCTTCAGCCAATCCGTCCTCTAATTAATAATCTAACTAGGGAGTTGCAGTGAAAACCTGCATACACAGTGGCCCTTTCTGGGTAAGATTGCCCACCCATGATGTAGACCAGGGGTGCCCAACTCCAGTCCTGGAGGGCCAGACCCCTGCACATTTCTGGGTTTCCCCTCATTTAACACTCCTGATTCAACTCCTTGTGCTAATTACCACACAGCTCTTGAGCTGAATCATTTATGGTGGAACAGGGAAAGAACTAAGCTACACAGGGCTCCGGCCCTCCAGGACTGGAGTTGGGCACCCCTGATCTAGACAGTAGTTTAACAGTAGTTTAACCTTTTTAATCAAGGCTGGCTCTACATTTTCTAGGGCTGTAGGCAAAGATTAACTTGGGGGGGCCACTCTACCAAGAAAACTGATGATCATTTACTTCACTTTCTCTACAAGGCAGGTAATTTGAGGGCCCTGGGCAACTATCTATTCTGCCTATAGCTAGAGCTGAAAATATATTACACATTACACAATCTGGAGGACCACCCATTACTGCAGAATCAGCAATTAGCCCAGTGTTCCAGTTACATACATCATAAACCCTGATACATTTATGTACAAAATTTAAATCTTGCTGCAAATACAGTACTTTTAAGCATTATCCTTTTTCGCCAATGCACGCGATTTAACACTGTCCCTCAACATTTAAATTGTTTTGCTATCTTGTTTAGATTATGTGCATTTTAACAAACAGTTTAGTCTACAAAGATCAGCGGCAATTACACAGAAGCCATAAAACAGCAGATTTTGTGAAATGTGATGTCAGCTGCGGGGGTGTAAAGCATTATATTGTGTTTTTAAAGCTGTTTTTCTGCTGATGACAAATATGGGAAGTATCCAGCTGCTGCTTTCGGCTTACATCTGCAAAATTAGCGGGACATGCGAACTGGAGAGGTAGGAACACATGTTCTGGCAATCAGAAGCTCACCTTTAATTAGAAAAGCTGATTTCTCTAGGAGACACGCTGGTTACAATTCCAGCTCCAGGGGTGGAGTCAGAGCAAACCCCCTCCCCACCAAAAAAAAATTGGCAAGTTGCCTTTTGCTTGATTGTCAGAGTCTGAATGTTAGTTGGAAACAGGTGTATGTATTTGTTTTGTTTGTTTATTTGGGGGGGGGGGGAGTTGCAAGTGTGTGGCTGAGCTCCTTGACTGATCAGGGGGGTGTTCCACAAAGAGGGATTTCTTAGTTAGCAGGATATCTTAAGCCAAATTGAGAATGCTCTCCAACAGGAAGACAGGTAAGTGACATTCCAATTGGACGATCCTCACAATTGGCTTACATTATCCTGCTTTCCTGAATACCCACGAGGTGAGCGAATGAGGCTTGTTTGTTTATGTTCTTCTCAGCCAAAAATATATAGACAGTGGTACCTTGGTTTGTGAGCAGAATTTGTTCCGGAAACATGCTTGTAATCCATCGTGTAACAAAGCGAATTTTCCCATAAGAAATAATGGAAACTCGGATGATTCGTTCCACAACCCAAAAATGTTCATATAAAAATGATTAATACAAAATATAAAGTAAAAATACATAAAACAAATGAACCTGCACTTTACCTTTGAAAAGAATCGTGGATGGTGTGAGAGAGAGGAGAGGAGGAGGGTTATTTTGTAGGATGACTTTCACTATAACTAACGGAATCACTGCTATCTGTTGGCTCACTGGAATCTTTTTCTTTTTGTACGACTTTAACAAGGAACCTATCCAATGACAGCCACTTTTGCCTCCTTTTTGATTTTGTGGAAATGTGACATTGCATTGTCGTTAAACAGATTAATCTCTCACACTGCTACGCCCTTATTTGGGTGGTGCTTTTCTACTAAATTTTGACCATACGAGTGAGGCACACCAACTGAGACCAAGCATGAGAAACAATTACCCACAATCCCACAGCGTGAGAGAGAGAAGAACCATCGGCTCAGTTGTGATCACGTGATACTCGGCAGACAAATCGTATACGTGATACTCGTATTGCAAGACCTCACTTGTTTATTAAATTAAAATTTATTTTAAAATTTTGGCTTATTTTGCAAAACACTCGCAGATCAAGTTACTCGCAATCCAAGGTTTTACTGTGTGTGTGTATATACGTATATATATATATTTTTTTTACAGCTCAGCCAGGTAATTTCACCAGTTATATGTTCGGGTGGAGCTGAGAAGAGGGAAAAGCCAGGACTTTCAGGACATACAGTGACAGGAAATTGTTCAAATTCAAAAGGTTCATGAGATACCAGTTTAACAATAAGTATTTGTTATTCTTATGTATAGGCTCTGGACCCTATCAACCCTGCATCAGACAAGCGGCTGTAGAAAATGGACAGATGGATGGATGGATGATCCCTGCAGGATGATTTTGACTGTCCTTGGTGATATATAATTATACAAGATAGGTGAAGGCGGATTTGTTTTTGTTAAATCCTTATAGTTTAGTGTTTTTGAATAGAAGGCAATAGAGCTTACTGTCATGACTGATAGAAATTTGGCCACTTTATATGGCAATTTTTCCACCACATATCAAAAATGATGTCAGTCACACACCCACTTCAGCGAGTGATTGTCTGCTACACATGTTATTGGACACTAAACACATTTTGATTATAGCTTGGGTCCCTGCTTGCATTGAGGCAAGTGTATCTACACCTCCCAGAGCGGTGTGGTCTGCACAGCTGAGAGAGACTATTTCTCTTTAGGCTCTGCGGTTTTTCCAGGTACCACTGTCACACTGCTGCTACAGGATGTTGCATCTGTTTTACAGGTCAGAGCCTGAGACTTCTGCAGAACCCATCACGCAGATGACAGTGGAAGGCATCCAAACTCGATACTCCCTCGACTCATTCCAGGGGTTTATGTTAAACGCCATTATCTTGTCAGATTTTAAGGACAGCCTGCGAATACAAAGCAGACCTGGCAGATGGGGAAGAACCCACTGTTACCTAATCTAACTCCACGACACTGAAAAAGACATTAGCTGCGGATCAATTAAGATCCATTCTTCGGACAAAATGAAATAAAGATTTCTACATGTTTATTTGATCACCCCTAATGGAAACATAGTAGTTTTGTGTTTCCGTGAGTGTCTGTTACATACTAGAGCATTTCAAGATGGTACCAGCATTATAGCGCAAGAAAAGTCTTCCTGAATTAGCATCCAAATGGCTGCAATGCTTATATTTACTTCCAGCTTTGTGTCAATATAAGTGATCACATATCTGACAAACCATTTTATAAATCTTTCTGTGAATTACTTCCATCATTGCACATAAATAAAGCTCAAGATATTTGCTATGAACTTCCAGTTGTGCCCACAATAATATAACAGTGCTCTGCTGTTAATTTGGAAGCAAAGTTTAGTTTTTCTATTAAACCATAAACCTTATGAAGCTGATAAACTCACTGGCCTCGTTCTAAATCAAGGTTAGAGCTGTTCCAAGGGTTTATTGTGTAAAAGTAAAAGAAAACCTAATCCAAGATATTTAAAACACAAGGTCAGCTAAATACTTTTATCAGCAAGGACTCCTGGACTGTAACCAAATTGTCTTCTCTTGGCTAAACCATACCCAAGACTAAGCAACATGGAAAGGAGACATGGGACTTAAATAGACTAATTCCAGGTGGGGCTAATCACTGCTTAATTGATTGATGGCATCGCCTTCCCTGTTCCACAGTAGCAGGTCAGCAAATAACCACGCTTCAAAGTTGCGACAAACTAGGGTCATTCTGAAAGCATAAATTAACCACAGTTCTTTTTAACGTCACACCGGCACTGAAAACGTTCCAAACACACACCCCCCCACACCCTGCTTAAGGCCATTTTCCAAGCAATATTTGCGTAACATATGCCCATATGAATCCACTTGCACAGCAATGACCTAAACTCAAAAACAGGGAACCTTTGAACTAAGGGCAGTTCACTGCGATTTACTGGTAATTTCATTTTCACCACAATACGGGCTTTGTTATGGGCCTGTAGGTGTGCTGCATGAACTTTTTAAAACCCTATGAAGACACAATTATTAGAGTCATTATCGCTCACAGAAAAAAAACCAACCTCAGCATGTTGGACGGTACATATTAGGGGTAGGGGGTGCAGCTGTGAGCAGGAGGTTGCTGGTTCAAGCCTAGCCTTGGGTGTACAGCTGTGAGTAGCGGGTTGCTGGTTCAAGCCTAGCATTGGATGTGCAGCTATGAGCAGGAGGTTGCTGGTTCAAGCCTAGCCTTGGGTGTGCAGCTATGAGCAGGAGGTTGCTGGTTCAAGCCTAGCCTTGGGTGTGCAGCTGTGAGCAGGAGGTTGCTGGTTCAAGCCTAGCCTTGGGTGTGCAGCTGTGAGCAGTAGGTTGTTGGTTCAAGCCTAGCCTTTGGTGTGCAGCTGTGAGCAGCAGGTTGCTGGTTCAAGCCTAGCCTTGGGTGTGCAGCTGTGAGCAGCGGGTTGCTGGTTCAAGCCTAGCCTTGGATGTGCAGCTGTGAGAAGGAGGTTGCTGGTTCAAGCCTAGCCTTGGGTATGCAGCTGTGAGCAGCAGGTTGCTGGTTCAAGCCAAGCCTTAGCAGAACAGTCACATGTCCATGGGCCCTTGAGCTCCCTGGGTGTTGCAAGGTGGCTGATCATTTACTGTGACCACCAAGCTTGCTCTCAAGAAGAGGCAAAGAGAATTTCTTCACGGGGATCAATGAACTATCATTATCTTATTCTATATCCATGGTTAGTCTGCTGACCTAGCCAAGTTTCCTTTGGAACTCAAACAGTATTTCATTCATCATAATACTGATTAAATAGATCTTCCAGAAAGTTGCACTGCACTAAAAGTACAAGGAACTGCATTCTGTAGCACAGAATACAATAGTTTCTTCGCTGACTTACAAAACAAACCTGTGAGTCTTTAATTCCAAGGTCTACCATGGCATTCCATACAGCCATGGGTTGTTTATATGTTTATATGTCTATACAAATTCCTTTGGGGTAGTGGATCGCAACCTCATTGGACCAATTTGGCTCAAGAGCAGAGCCGCCTTTTGTTCAGACTCAAAGCTAATCTAATTATATGTGTACTGCTGCTGACCTCGTGTCACATTTAGGGCACGTATTTTCTTCCCATTAAATACCCATATTTCGTTCCCGTTTCCTAATGGAAGCCCTTCAATAGCTATCTCATTAATTCTTCACCTTATTGAAAACGGTCAGTCGGTATGTCAGTCTCCGGTCCAAGCCTTCGACATAATTGCATCAACAGTTTTACAGGCTGCCGCAGTTGCTGCCAATTACCGATTTTCGCAAACCGACGCTTCAAGGGCTCCTGTCAGGGAAGCGAGTAGATGGTGCTCCAGAATGCAACATCTATAGCTTCCACCGTGTGATTTCACCACAGTTGACGCCTGGCAAATGGTTCAAGCGTGACCCCACATCTCTGTGCGGAGCACATCCCCCCTGCAGCACCCCAATGTGGGAACTGCAGCCACCAATCCACAAAGCCACTGGCATCTGAGGAACCTGCACAGAACGAAGGGAACAAATCGAATCCAGTTACCAACACCTCATTGTCGTCCATGCAAAGTGAAGAACAAAAGAAGAGCCGAAATAGAGTATCAAGATCAGATACTTCGCAAAAAATATTCATTGCCATAGTTCATATAACTATACCCCCATAACAGTGTTGCTTAGCGTAACTTGATAAGCCCCCGACTCGGACACAGCTGGAGACGATTGGATGGGGATGTCAGCAAGACCGATAAGGTGAAAAGCTAAACAAAGGCTAATGTGTCATTTATGTATTTACTATGACCTTCCAATGGTGGGGGCGGCTTCTTTGTGAAGGCCTCTGATTGGGCGGCCTGCTTAACCCATGCTCCTATCTCCGGATGAGAGCTGAGTTCTACCCCTTTGAAACAGAAGTGCTTTTTAAACCTGATAGTGGCCTACGCAAATCAGCTCCTTTTGGAGTGACATCAACTCCTAGTATGTGGGGGTTTTTTATCTGGTCAGTGACTTGTATTGCCAAGAAGGTTGTTGCTCTGTTGTGAGATATCTAATGATACTAAAACCTCTTCAACTAATATTCCTATGCCTGCATTCTCACTTGCCTCTCCCTCCTACTTATGCTGCCATAGCCATATCTGCTGGGACTTACATATTGCACTCAATTAACTGTTTGCACTGCCCTACTTTGGCTAATTGCACATTTTATTTCCCATACTGCTCCTGGACTGTGCTGCCTGGAGACCCCAAAATATCAAGATGTCCTGCCCACCTTGCTGCCTGAGACGCCCCCAGTACCTCTGGCGTCCTTCCGGCCTGCTCGCCCTTCCGTCTGCGATGTCTCTCCTGCCTGCCCTGCTGCTGTACCACCTCTCCTCCTGCCCTCTGAAGCAGCACCTGCACCTGCCTGCCCCCTCTTCGAGACTCAAATCTTATAATTTGGGCGGTGTGAATTGGGGACTTTTCCATCTTGCCCATTTGACTTTCTCTTGTACAATGAGCTTCCCCTTTGAGTCCGATTCCTCCCAAGGTTTCTCCTTGCCACTGTCACCTCTGGCTTGCTTACTTGGGGCTTTGAGCAGCGATAATGTAAGCGATTTGAGACAATGTAATGTTGTGAAAATGCACTATATAGATAAAACCGAATTGAATTCCCCACCATAAGCTACATATTGTTTTGTTTATGAACACCTAGTCTTGACAGGGTCCCCTTAATCTCGTGATGCTGAAAGTAAAAGGAGGAAAAAGCTTAGAAATTGAAGGTGTCACAAACAAACAGCAGATGGTGGCCATACACCTCCGGAGATCGACATTCCTTTACGTCATCTGCTAAATGCATCTAACGCTTCCCTTTTTAAACAAGGCATATTGTGTTTCAGACACGCCAAGTAGAAATCTCTATTCTGATCAGCAATTTCCTTTTCACTGCCAGCCCTTGCTTAACGTCATCCCCATATTGGCAGGAACTGTAGCCGTAGTACTGGAGAGGCGTTACAGTGCACGGCCGGGGTAAAGGAAAGTTTAAGGATCTGTCCCGTATTTCCAGGGAAATCAATCAGCAGCCTGACAGTTCAGTAACAGATTTATAATACGGAATTTAAATCATGGGGCAGCACGGTAATACAGTGTTTAGCATGGTTGCCTCACACCTCTAGGACCAGGGATTGAGTGTCCGTCCTGGTTCTGTGTGTATGGAGTTTGCATGTTCTTACGGCGCGGAATGTTAGTTCAATATCATTTGATATCTCAAAACAACAAAACAATGTTCTTGCCAGAATACAATTCACTCCCCTTGTTGTGGTGAGGTTTCCCAAAAACGTGCTATTGTCCATATGAGCACATGTGTTTGCCCTCTGATGGGTTGGTGTCCTGTCTTGGATTATTCTGCACAACCCTACATAAGACAAATGGGAATAGAAAATGGATGGATGTTAAAATTATGGAATTTATCATGAATTGTTCTAAAGACGTGCCCTGTGATGAACTGGCATCCCATCCAGTCCAGTGTGTGCCCTGCTCTGTATGCTGTGCTTCCTTAGAACCAAGGTCACTGTGCACAAACAAAAAAATAATGTTAAAAATAAAATAAAAAAATATTCTTTATGAATATGTAAAAAAATGTAAAAAGCCAAAACCCTGCATTTGGGAAATGATTACATTTTAGCAAAATGGTAACAAATGACAGTTTTAAGTTAAATATCCTTACCATTCAGACAAATATGAACGCTGATCACAAGAAAATCTGTTCCCTTCTTTCTTTCATTTGTTACACCAATAATATTTGACATAACTCAATGTGATTTTTTTTGAGAAGGAGCAATTGAGAAGTAGATTACAGAGATGCATTGTTTCATATTAATCCTGTATTAAAAGCTCAGACTATTCCTGTTGATACCAAGGGAAAAAAATAATTAATCAGATACAAGTCCAAGGGGAATGTAACAAGTCTAAGAACAGTGCTTTGGGGTACACCTATGATTTATCCATCCATTTTCTATACCTGCTTGTCCTATATGGGG